GAAATTCTGAAGGATCAGATTAAATATAGTTTAGAATAATATAGTATAAAATATATAGGAAAGAAAGTTATATAAACACAGACAAAATTTCCAAGAAACAAAACAAACAATTCCATACCTTACAACCTTATAATATACGGATGAAAAATATTAAAAAAGCAACTATAGCCTGTACAAATTGTCAACTAAAGAAAGTACGCTGTCTTAAATATCAAGAAACCACCTGTCTATGTTGTTCAAGGAAACACATTGATTGTGTATACCTACCACAATCTAAAAGAGGACCAAATAAGAAAAATAAAGAAACCAGCAATCATGGACACATATAAGAAAGAAATTATTAAAATCATAACCACTGATCAGACAATATCAGTATTTAATATAACAATAACTTGGATGAGCAATATTTATATTACATTAGCAACATCCGAACAACTATTTCAACAACTTAATCAAACAATACAACTTATAATTATATCAATAGCAATAGTAGTAACCATATCAATAGTTGCAAACACTATAATACGACTAAAAGAAATAACAACACTAACAAGGAAAAATTAATGGATACAACCCTTACTCAATTTATTGAAAAACTTAGTTAACAATTAATTAAAATTCAAGAAGCTATAACTGCTGAAAAAGTTACAACAACTGAAATAGAAAACTTACGAATAGCATACCCACCAAGAGTAATTAATAATCAACCAGAAGAATATCCTACAATTAAAAACATAATTACTTCAAGAAGGAATACAACAATTAAAGCACTTAAGAACATTCGAAGGAATATTGAATTCTTATATTTATTCGAATCAATATCTTTAAATCTACGAGCAATTCAAAGAACATCTTTGAAAACAAAGATACAAGCTTTATTTCAAACCTTAGATCTTACAATAGATCATATATTACCATTTGAATTAGGAATTGACAATTTACTACTAGAAACTGAAGGATTAAATGAAATTTTAGAAGGAATAGTACTATGACAAGAAAACTAAAAGACTTAGTTATGACCTTGAAAAATGGGGCTAATAATAAAAAATTATCATATTCAAAAGAAATTTATTATATTATACACAAAATAACTATTTACTACCAAAAAAAACCTATAACTGAAACCTTATCAGAAGAATATTATGCTGACGAATCGGATATATCAAGTGAAAACTCAAGAATCTGGGATACATATCCTGAACAAATAACTAGATCAGTATTCGAAAACCCTGAATTTTGGCCATTTAAATACTTTTGGAACCATTATCCGGAACCAAGGAATACTTATTTTAAAGAAATAAATCCATACCAAGAAATAATATTTCAAAGACCAGTAGAAGAAATTCGCTCAGATATTGTAGTAACACTTGCAAATTTGATAGCAAGGTGTAATCCTACAAACGACTTAAGATTAGGAACTATATTAAAAACTTTGCAATTAGCAATATCACTCACAATCTATTTCTACAATGATTCCGGGTCCTCCGATCTTGTTATCTGTTTCCAAAATCTGACAATTGATAGATTGTCTTATTATCTGAATCTATCGTGTGATCGTTGTCTTTGCTAATCCCGTGAATGAACATATTGTTCCATGTTTTGCTTTGATAAGCCATAAATAGGCGATTTTCAGTACTTCATTACTTTCAAGTTTCAAATTCATAAAAATCATTTTATTTATTAAGGATATTTTCTTTTGGCAATTCCATTTAGTACATCGGAATTCCTTATTTGAGTATAACTTCATCGGTTTTAAGCACTGTAAATAGTTAATTTCTTTAGGGAGTATCGATTTTTCTTGTAAGAGTTCTATACATAGTTCTTTATTCTAAAAGTATTGTTCTAATTCTTAATACGTGGTACTTTCATCTTTAATTTTTCTGTTTTTGTTTCTTTCTTAAGTTTTGTAAGGTATAAGTCTTTTAGGGGTCTTTTTATATATTCTTCATATCTTTGTAGATCTCTTCTTTATCTTTTATTCCTATTTTCAATGTGACTATTTGTGTTCCGTCCTTATCAATTCCCATATGTCTTAATAAGTAATCGGCTACACTATTATCCTTTCCTTTAATTCGTTTAACAGTCCAATTGAAGTTTTGTAACTTAATTAATCATTTTTGCATGGTATTATTTCTAATCATTTTTCCTGAGGCGTCTGATATCCCTGTGTTGTCAGTTCGTACTATTATTGGTTTATTCCCAATGTAATGTTGCCAATTCGTTAAGTAATAGTATATTGCAAATAATTCTTTCTGAGTTGATCCCCATAATCTTTGTGTTGGTAATAAGGATTTTGATCCAAATTCTATAATTTCTTCTTCAGATTTCGTAGATTCAGTTTCTTTACCTTTTCCTCTAGCATCTTTAGTTTTATAATGTGCTAGTTCTGAATTTATTTGTTTCAATACTGATCCTATTCCATTATCTGAAGCATCAGTTTCTAGTATAAGTTGGTATCTTTTCTTTGAATATGTTAAAGCTATTGCATTTTTTACTTTTTCTTTTAACATTTCAAATGCATTTTGACAGTCTTTATTCCAGTCGAATTTTGCATTTTTCTGTAATAATTTATAAATAGGTTCTGCTATTTGTGCAAAATTCTTAATGTATCTTCTAAAGTAGTTCATAAATCCTGTAAATGATCATACTCCATGGATGTCTGTTGGTACTTTTAACTTGTCGCATTCTTTGATTTTGACTTGATTTGGGTGTATCTTTCTGAATTCAACTAAATGGTTCAGAATTAGAGTTTGTTTTATCTAAAATTCACATTTGTCTGGTTTCAGGCTCATGCTCGCTTTTTCTATGCATTCAAATACTATTTGAAGATGTTTAAAATGTTCTTCTTCTGAATTACTTGCTATTGTCATATCATTCATATATACGTATACAAAAAGTAAGTCTCTGAATATCTCATACATATATCTCATCATATATGCTGGTACTGTTTTTAGTCCTATAGGTAATACATTCCATTCAAATTTGTCTTTCCCTGGAAAGAATACTGTCATAAGATGTTTATCTACTTCTCTGAGCTTAAATTGATGATAAGCTGCTGTAAAATCTAGTGTAGAGAATATTTTATGTTTAGCTAAGTTTTGTAACATAGTATTTATGTGTGGTATTTCATAAAGATCATCTTCTAAATATTGATTAAGTTTCATGTAGTCTACTGCTACTCTATATGATCTATCTTTCTTTGAATAATAACTAGTGGTGATACCTATACTGCTTTTGATGGTCTAATAAAATCTTGTTTTTGTAAGTCTTCAAATAATTTATTTGCTTGTTCTATCTTATCTTCTGAGTATTGTCATGGCATTCATGCCTTGTCCCGAAATAGTATTTCTTTTTTATCACATTTTAATATCAAAGTTATTGGTTCAAAGAACTTTTCATTAAATGTAGTTGCTTTTTCATTTTTTCTTTGAAATATATTAATAAATTTCTTGAATAATGATGCTATTCGAGTTCTATATTCTTGTGTAGTATTTTTTATCAATACTTTATATCATTCTTTCTCAGTTTTTTCTTTTTCTTCAGGTTTCATTTCCCATCATTTATCTTTTTCTTTTGGTATTTCTACATCGTGTATTTCTATTATTTTGGTTACTTTTTCAAGATTACCAATATGATATTTTTCCGATATTAATATAGGTTTATCCGCATAGTTAATTACTCTTATTTTGTTGTCATTAATTATTCCGTTCTGTACGATTATTTCATTTTGGGCTAAATAGATTGGTGTTTGTATTAAATAGTTTTCTTTTTGAGATATATTAATTGCAGTCCATGTATATGGTCTGAGCATATATTCTTAATTGGTATAACATGGTATTCCTGTACCTAATGTTGGTATGATATGTTTTCATATTTCATTTGGTATATAAGCTAGTTCATGGTGTATTATCATTTTATTGTTTCTTTCTAATTGTGGTTGGTATTGTGATAATTTGATATTGAATATTTTTTTTTTCAATATATAATGATTCATCAGTAGTTGTACTTTTATTACTTTTTGTATCCATTTTATCATTATCGTTGTTATAATATTCTTCTTGGAACTGTAATTGTTCTCTTTCAATGATAGTTTGAAGTGTAGATACTTGTTTTGATGATGTTTCTTGATTATGTCTTTCATCGAATGAATCTTGTCTTTTTCTATAGAATTCGTCATTTTGTTCTTCTTCATGGATATTTGTTATTACTTGATCTTTTACTACATTGTGTCTTAAATCTGGTTCTTGACATTTCTTAAATATATTCCTTTGGCACTAGTTTGGCGATTTCGGTGTTTGTTAAATCATTTCTTGAGATTTTGGTGGTGATTATATTGTTTCTGGATTCATGAATATTACTTGTGGTCTTTCTTGACCTGGTGAATAGTATTCTACTTGTCCTAATATATTGGTTTTAACAATATCTTCATTATTGGTTTTATTGTTATTTTCTAGTTCCATACTAGATATGCTTGAACTTGATG